CACATACTTTTTCTTTGCCCTCTGGTACATTTCTGTTGTATTTACTAACTAATGAAGTCCGCAGTAATCCAAACTGTCATCATTGGCTCTTCTTGCTATTCTAATGACTGCATGGATGACTACCCGGAGTCTTCTCTAGATATAACTCCTTCATATCACAAGCCACAGGAGTTTGCAATTAATAGTGTTCTCTGAGCTGGTTGAGCTTCGCAGCTAAACCAAACAGCTCAGAGAACACCATTAATTTCAAATCATCCACCTGAACTTCGAATCTTCTCTATTATTTCAGAAACCCACAGGAGTATCTTCACTGGACTGAAGTCAATTATTCCATGGGTTGCATGTTATTTCTCCCACTTTCCGTCCCACACAATAAATTTTACCCCAACATCAGTTGCGGTTTCTAGCACCTAATTGCTTACTAACTGCTTATACTCACAGTTTTCTCCTATGTTATCCAGCACGTCCGAGCGAAAAACACTAGTTTCTCCATTGCCAATGAGTGTGCATTGTAAATCATTTATGAATTTATCTGGGACGTGAGAAGGACTTGCTGTGTCTGCACTAGAGCCACTACCAGAAATTTGGAGAGACACCTATCTCTTGTGTCAAGCAATCTTTGAATTCAACTTTCCTAGGGATAATGTAAACATAACACAATTTGTGACATCCTCAAATCCGTCGTCGGAAGTCGAAACAACTTCGGCTTCCCAAGTCACATTATCTACGAAGCATCTCGTTACTTTGGAGGGCAGTCACAGTTTTCGTTGACCAGGTTGGACTCTGGGGAGCAACGAAATGTGCACACCCCAACAGGATATAAGACTGAGCCACTTACAGATGATTTCACATGCAATAATTTCTACAAGGAATAAGTTATTACCTGTTCCATATTTAAGCATTGAACAGACTATGATGAGTACAATGATAGGAAAGAAACGTTATTATTATAAAAACGAGCAAAATGCAGCTTTTTCGGACGGTGTATATTAGTGAAACTACGATAATGGTTTTCATGATGACGAAAGCGATGGAAAAGCAACCCTCTCAAGCATCATGTCCGATTTTCACTTTTAAGTTGGAAGCCCCTAGTCACCCTAAAGTGTGCTTCGTAATCAAAAATAAGTGCGAAGAAATATAGAGGCTACACTGGCGCTTATAAAATACGTTGTATGCGCTACTTTTTCAACATCTTGTTTAACACTATAGATGGATGTGCGCGGTCTGGTTAACCACAGTAAAACAATTATCTTGGTAATTATTCCACGATGGTTTTTATGGCCTAATGGTTCCTTGTTTTTCTCTTCTGCTGTTGTCAGCGTTCAGAAAAAGTTTTTAAGTGGATATTTTGGCATTATTATTGTGAAACAATATTTACTGAGTATATCGACTAAGTACAATTCTGTTCAGCATATTCTGCATCGTATGCACAACTAGGGTGTTTTTAGAGATATGATAATGAAGCAAAACAAGGAAACTATTCTGTTTAAACTTTACTTCGCAATGGCCACCATGGTGTGCTATCGTTCGCCAGGATATCGTGGTGTAATGCAAAGTGTTGTCCGCAACTGCCGTAATTGTTATCATCTGAGAAAATTGGTGTGAAAACACCAAAATATACTGCCAAGTAGTTGATTAATCTGGTAGTCTCTTCTAGCTGGCAATCGACATACTTGTCGGCCTGGACACCATTTGATTACCATAATGAGCTGTCTAGTTAGGGTTATCAGCTGCAACTACTCAGCGGTTGCCATTGGTCTGTCGTTTGTTATGAGGAAGAGAATTACTTTCGCTTATCAACAGCTTTTACCACAGGGTGACATGGGTATTTGTGGGTTTTTTGTAGTATTTAAATGCTCTCAAAAGTTAACCATAGGTGTTTGGGTTATTGTATTTCGAGCAGTCTCAAATCCAACTAACAAACGTAATATGCAGATCTAGACTTGTAATATTCAAGAAACTGAGTAGATACTTGCTTTTTTATCTTTGGACTATAGAAGTCTATTAACTAAACGGCATGATGACATCTAGCTACTATGTAGTCACTCGTTTTACAGATTTACTTGTAGTTTTCAGCATTGGCAGATACTAAATGTTTGAAGACACTTACCAAACCTAAGAATGACTGAAGGTCGTCATGATCCACTACCAACAAATTATGATAAGTCTATTATGTCAGTTAATCATAAAGAAGAAACAAGTCAAATACATTGTTTTGTGGTTGCGTTTTGCGCGACAGTTTGCTAGTACTTTTTATGATGGTGTCAGACAACTGAAGATCGATGTAGCCAGAATTTAGTACATAAAACCTTACCATTGATGGCTGATAGCCATTAGTCACTTTGTAGTGCGTAGTGTTTGATATTTACCAACCTATCCTTTGGTAATGGAAGATTCAAATAGATGACTTACTGATGTTGTGATGAAAACAGGTTTCAGCCAGCAGTGGTGCACTTAGTTGCTTATCACATTACAAGATGTCCAAGTCAGTCATGTCAGTTGACGGATTTGTCTTAAGTGATAGGGTCTGCAGAAGTAGTTACCGGAACCTATTAACACCTCATGATCTCAGCTGTTTTAGTCAAAATGGTGTGTACTGATGAAGAGTCCCGAACTAGGACGAAACAGCTGTCCAGTACTTTCAGGTTTTCCGATGGTTCTCTAACCAATGTCAGCTCATGATTAAATCCTGTAACCAAAATGGTGAAATTAGCGACTGCGTAGTATACTAACAGCACTAATTGTCGCGTTTTCTAACCTCATAGACAAGCACTTGATGCATACAGGAGTATCTAGGAATTCAGACGTATGCATCGTTCACCAGGTTGTTTTAATTCACATAAATATTACTTAAAAAATGAGCAGTCGATTGCATCAAGGCGTGAGTGTTTCTGATGGTTACTAGCCATTAAGGGGCTCTCTAAGCTCGACAAGCTTGATTGTGGAGCTTTCAAAACGACATTAGTATTGAGGATGTTGTCTGAAAGAAAACTGAAAGCTTCACAGTCAGACAGTATAGCTCAAAGTTTACTACTCCACCGAAAAGGCATACCTGTTATGCGGATGTTTATTATTTCAAGATGCTCAGTACTTTAGTTTGTTTCTGTGTAGTTTCTCGCTTTAAATTAGTGTTTGGAAAATGCTTGTCGAGTTTTCTTTGGTGGCAACCATATCCAGTGATCAGCCTACTAGATATACTTCTCAGATAGTAGGATAAATTAATGTTTAGCTATCCTCTGTGAATCTGGAATGATGTTCACAGGTTCGAATCCTGCTCCACCTATCGAGGTTTGAGCAATCAGGTAGCATCACTAGCTCTCACAACAGGTATGACTATATGTCAACTGCATGGGATTGCAAGTGATTGTTGAGTAACGGTGATGTGCTTATACTTGGTTAATGGGAGCAGTGACACTACTTATGATTGGGCACCCCAATGCAAACTGAAATCTCCCATATGTTTCCTTTGCCAATATTTATTTAAGACTCATTTATTAGGTAGGCTAAGGCAAGTTTTATCAAACAGTAAAGATCTTTAATATATGCGACACTTATATTTTAGTGCAGTTACATGTTTTATTTCAAGAGAAATGTCGAGTGATATACCTGGTATGGTCTTCACATTTGTCTGACTGTCTATAAACTTAAAATTCTTAAACTTTGAATATCACATTTGCAAGTTAAAACTGAACAGTTATCGCTGTTATAAGACTCAATAGTCTTTAGGCGCGTTGTTACTCACTAGGCTTGTTTCCAAACGCCTGCTGTAATAATAAGTACATATTTCAAAGCTCTTTTTGCGTGCGGAACATTTATCGACAAGAATTAAAGTTTCAAACGGAAAAAGTCAGATAGTTCTTAGAGTTGATTTCTATAGCTTAGATCCTATATGACCAACTGGGATTTTAACCTTGAACACCTTGCACATAAGTGCAGTAGTTCCAGTCGCCACTCCTTAGCACATGTGCCATATAGCAAATAGAAGTAGGAAAAAGCGAATGAAAATGACTATAATGAGCAAATGTGTGAGGAAGGAAGAAAAGCATTATGGGCAAACATGAGTTTTTAATGCATATGGGAGATCACAATGAGTGAATGCATGTGCGCCATTGAACCATATTACCGGTAGTCTCCAGCCATTGGTTCTTAGCATCTCAAGGACCCTAATCAGGCAGTGTACATCCCCCCTACGTGACACAAAGCAACTGTCAGTGTCTATATGGATTAATAACAGGTTTTGGTTTGGTTACACCTAACTCTTTTCCAACCTAGTCTTATGCCAGCTAACATTGTCCAACGAGGAGAGCTGTGACTTGGCATGCGTAGCACGTGTCTTGGCCATCTCAATTGTTGTAGCTTTCCAACCTCATCTATGGACCCAACATTACGCATAACCTCAATATTGCTGACTATATTATACCACTTAGCCGCGGAGATAAAACGCGAAATTTTGTGGTCAGCGACAACTAGCTTTATGTGACTACAAAAAGTTGTTGTTTAGTGGGAGGACTCGGTCGGTTTTCGACATAGAACTTTGCTTCGATGTGCGGCAGTTCAAGTCGCCTAACTCCAAGTAGCACACAAAGCAAGAGAAGAAAGTAGAAGAAATGCATAATATAGACAGTAAACAGAGGTGTGAGACAAAGGAATAGTAATAACGGAGAGCAAAACATTTTAATTGGAAATCATGAGTCACAAGGAGTGGATGCATCTGCGCCACTGAGAACGATTTTGAGCCATGTCACCAATTGTTTCCAACCATTGGTTTTTACCGTCTCGAGGAACCCAACCAGGAAGGGAGGACTCATTAGTATCTTACAGTGTTTGGCAGCATGTACTAGATAAGATTCTTGATGTATACTTCTTAACCGTTTATTCAATCATTTCGTTGAATTACAATAATTTTACATTTTGTCTTAACAAGGCTTACCCAGTTAAAATTGCTCTTTTTTTGTTTAAATTTTCTTATTATAGTCACTTTACAAAATGGTCGTCATACTATGATGGATGACGGTTCCTCTGTGTTATTAAAAAGTGATATTACTCCTTCTCCTTGTTCTATGGATAAATTAGAAATTGCACCTGCAAAAAGTCCTGATTCAATATCAAGTCAATGTTCTAAAATGAGTTCAACTACCAATCAAAGTAATGCTAACACTAACAGCAACAACAACAATAACAACAGTAGCGATGTCTTTCGGACTGATAAATTAGCTACTGAGGAACGACCGGTGGAAGTAAATACTGAAGACATGGAACCGGCTTTACGACGTAGTAAACGTGGTAAAGGAAGACCTAGCAATGTTCATAATAACAACAACAGTAACAATAATAACAATGATGGATCATCAGACGATCATGTCCCTTCTTGTATTGTCTCTGGCGTTGAATATCGTACAGGTTTGTTGTTTCTATAACTTTTGATTCTTGTAACGCGTCATTTTTACGCCAGTGTTGCTAAATTTATTGTATTTATCTAGTCAGACACATGAATATTGCCTGGGTATATAGGAATTGAAGAGCTTATTGAGGATTGGAGAGGCATATACGTAGAAGAAAATTTCAGTGTCGATTAGTGACGTACTTACGATGTGTAATTCAACAATGTAGACTGCTTTTTGTTAGCTTAATACCTCTGTAATTCATGGTTTTATAGGTGTATTCGTAAGAATACGGGTAATTTAAATTTGCATGTTGCTACTCATTAACAGTGTACAACCTTACGCCAAATATTTTGCAAGTTTTTCTAATAACCAATGCTTTATCAATATGAATTAGATAGAAGGGACTTGAATTAATGATACAATAGTTTAGTCGCTTGAACTGTAGCTAGTTAGGGTTGGTTAGAACTCAGTTATTCGATCGATACTTAATGTATGATACTAACAATTCGCTCAAGCCGAAGTAGTTGGAGCAGGATTCGAACTCGGAGCCTGTTGACTCAAAGTCAAGTGTTTACTTCAATGACCAACAAGTGTATCTGAATTATTTATATACAAATCGACTGTATAAATTTAGTACTTTCTATTGTTTTGTTTTGCTCATACATAAACTGTGTATGGTACTCAAGTCTCGCACTGTCTAATCATCAACTAATGTAGTGTTTCCATTCCTTACGTTCCGAATAAAACCTACGGCTTAATGCTTTTAAAGTTTCAGTAGCGTTGGTGTTGTTTTTACACGGGGTGGGATTGTTAGCCTCGCGCTCAAAGTTCCCACTTTTCTAGACTTACTACTGGCCAGTTAATTAGGGGAGGCTTGGGTGGGACTGCGTCAGCCGTAAATCAAACGCGGATCTCGAGTGGCTGACGAGTTTTCTACTATTGAACAATCGAAATATAATGACGGGTTATTAAATACTAATGAATGAACTCACTTTTATCTTTGTAGTTGATTTTGAACAATTTCTCAGTGAAATGTTCAACTATCATGATTATATAATCCATCTAAATTCAGTAGTTGTTACTTAATAGATAAATTTCAGACATTCTTCTCATTTCTCATGTTTCTAGAGAATTATTATTTATCATTATTCCCTTGGGTTTAGAGTAGAGCAGTGGACTTCAGCGACAAATATCGATTTCACTCTGTTCTCTGTGGTCTGTTTTTTTTTTAACTGGTTCTATGGTCGTCCACCAGTTCTGATTTTATCCTCACACGATCTCCTTGTCACTTTCAGACACCCAACTCGTCTTTTCTCATTAGCTATCCACTTAAGGGTTTGCTTGGGTTGTGATTTCACGCAGCGGTCACCTTAACATATGTTCGATCTGTTTTCTTCGGTTTATTTGTTAGGCGATAGGTTCCTAGAGAAATGATTACAAATTTGCAACACTAACCGTCTTAGGGACCCTTATAACTTTCTTGTATCGTACAGTTTTCAAAATAAAGAATAGTCCATCTCAAGAGATTAAAATACTGCGTTTTGCCCTAACTAGCTAACTAACTAAATAATATGGGATGACGATTATCGACCAATTTTCTTTGTAAGAATAGTTGGACGTAGAACAATTCTTTACTCTAACGTTGAAGCAACATTTCATAACCTGCCTAGGCACAGTGTATAGTAAACGATTTGTGGATATCTTCTGTCTTGTTATTAATACTCCCTTGGGTTCCAAGTGGAACATACGGCTTCAACAACACAACTCCACTTTGTCCTATTGTCGTTTGTCCTCTTCAGCTGTGTCCACTATTACCCACAATTTGTCATCTCCTCCCCACACGATCCCCTCTCTTTATGTCACCCTCACACTGACGACCCACTCGTCGCTCCCCATTGGGATTCCACTCAATCAATGGCCTGCACTACGCGCGACATCATTCGAGGCCTCTTCAAAGTATGCCTTTTCTATCTCCATTTTCTCCTACATATTCGCTGGGCAATCCGCTCTTGGTTGGTTTGTTCCACTGTAGAGTTTCTTGTTGCTAATTCTTTCTGGCCGGCCGGCCGGCCATTTTATCTTCAGTATGGAGCCAGCAAACGTAGCAGCTGTTGATAAAACTCTGTAACAAGCTGTTGGAAATCCTTTTCGTGACGCGCGTGTCAAGTTTCTGACCCGTATAGAATCCGTGACTGACTTCACATTTGTTTGTGTCTACTGTAAATATTATATCGGTTTCTTTCATCTGACTGTAGCCATCAGTAAACAAAGCTGATGTTGATGGTTATGGTCCATTTCTCTTTCGCAAATTGTGTGGTTCGTTAGTCTAGGTGTCCGACTTCCAACAACCACTGGGTCGTCATGGTTTCGAGCCCTGTTCCACGTACTGAGTAGTGGCGTTTAGACAGCCACTGTCTACTGCAATTGACTTTCCAGTAAGATTTCATTTTTTCATATTAAAATTTCCTACTCATCATCGTTTCTTTCTCTCCTCATAAATATAGGTGATTTTGTCTACTATGAAGAACCTGATTTTGAATATTTTACAATTGGTTTAATTGAAGAAATTAAAGTCTCTCGACGTGATAAATTCTCAGTATTTATTAAGTGTTTCTATCGTACACGTGATATACCGGAGATATCAAAACAAGCTCTTCCTGATCGTGATAATTATCCAGCGAATTCAAATGTAAAATTTATTAGAGATGTAAGTCGAATGTGCGTTTGTATGTATGTATGTGTGTATGTATATATGCCTTTATGTGTTTGTCTCAATCATTTTGTGTTATGTTCATACTTTAGCAGTATGTATAGTGTAGAGTTATCTGTCTGTCTGTCTGTCTGTCTACCGGTCTATTGGTCTGTCTATCTATCTATCTCTACCTGCTATCATCCATCATTGATTAAAAGTGAAAAGTTTTATACAAACATTGCATAACACATTATTTCTTAGCGTTTCTTTTTTGCTGCTGTTGTTGTTGTTGTGATTATTGTATATGCATATATATATATATATATATATATATATATGTATATATATATATACATCATTACATTACACTGCAATTATCTCACATTATACGGACAGTAACTAACTATTGTACCCGACTGGAATTGACACATCATCAACTGAACATAGTCTACTACTCTCGGAAATATTCCTTTTCTGATTCGAATGTTAAACAAGCGATAAAGGCTGTCGATAAAGCAGAATTTCAATGGATCTATCGAATATCAGTAGGAGTCTTTCAGCTGTGGATACTGTACATACAATGAATGTTTTAAATACTATTTGAAATACATTGAGAGCGAGAGAGAGATATGTACCTAACTTCATACAACCGGGTTGCCGTTATTAGTTTTTTAATAAAGAAAGAAAGAAAGAAAGGAAGAACGAATACATATTTGCAGACAGGATAATATGAGTTGGTTTTACCTCGGGGATTCTCTCTCTCTCTTTTTCTTCAACTGCGCTGTACATCCTAAACAAAATGATGTCCAAAACATACTTTTTCCACAGTGACTTCAAGTGTTATAGATAGAAAGTATAGGCAACATAATTCCAAAGAGGGATATACATACACGAATTATTCAGCGTTAAAATAGTAACTATTTATCTAATAAATAGACAACGGGGGAGGGGCGGGGAGGTAAACTTCAGCTTTTTCTTGGAGACTACAAATACAAGAAAAAACGAGAGAGTGAATTCATACACATTATTACGTTCGTTCTTTCTTTATTTAAAGTTATCTATAACTAACTGACAAGTAGACAAATTACAGTCATGCAAAATGTCAGGTGAGAATGTTTTACAGGTCAAGTTCAGATAGATGAGGAAGGAACTCTAAAAGATTAAAATCAAAATAATAATAGTAATAATAATAATAATAATAATGCATTACGGTTCAATTACATCACGCAAGTAAACAACTAATTATTATTTAGAGAACCATTTGACAATCAGCCTACCGTTGAGAAAGACGATCGATTGCATGGTGATATGCGTAACACATGTCCTAACCATCTCTCTCTCTTAATCGGTGTAACTTCACAACCTCGTCGATTGTTTTCCCTTCTCACCTACCTAGCACTCGACAGAAGCCTACCTGACCTCAATGTGTTGCTCGGCTTATTATACCACTTCACACAGCAGAGAAAAACGCAGATATCTATGATGGAAGACAACTAACTAGTCTGACTTTTCATGTCTTCCACTTTCAATGACGATGTCTCACTCACAACCATAAAGAAGGAGGACAGAGGGAACTGCTGAGTAGTACACACGCCCTTTGGTCGACATCCGGATACTCTGCCACCACATTAGATCCTAGGCTTTTCATCAACAATTGATAAGACTTGGTTTTATCGTATTAAATTGAATTCCAACTTTGTATATCTATGGTTCTCTGATAGACTGCACGCCAACCACACCTCATATAGTCCGGGTTCAATTCTCGGCTGACTCATTTTTATTTGCCTCACTTAGCCAGTAGTGAGAAAGTTTGGTGAAAAGGGAAGGTCTGGTGTGAGACTGGCTATCTCACCTTTGGGAAAAATAACGCCAACACCACCACCTCCAAAAACTTCAAAGCCCAAGCTTTGAGGCCTTATGCGTGTTCCACACGGGAAATGTGAAGGAATAAGAAAAGAGAGACTCCCAAATTTTCCCCACCTATTAAAGTTTAGGAAATCAGATATACGGTATCTCTGAGTGATTGCTGAGTGTCATTCACAATCTTGCATACCTCTACTACTGCTTTCTTATTTATACTCGATACACAATACATAAATAATCGTATTGGTTTACACATGAATGAAAGAGAATATATACAAGAGTTAGCGATTAGCAGAATGGTGTTAATGTGCGTGCAGAGAAGAAAAAAAAAGGTATTCTTAAGAAAAAAAGTAGGCGTTTAACAAACTGAATTTTGAATATTGTTTTCTTTTCTTTTCTATGAGTATTATTACATGTTGAATTAGAAATGTCGAAAATTGCTAGTGTAAGTAAACAACTAACTAATCATCCATAGAAAAAGAGGTCAACACATGCTGTTTTTTTAAAAATAGAAGCACTGTTGCACTCCTAAAGTGTATGCGTGTGTGTGTGTGTGTTTGTGTTGTGTCACTAGTGGAATAACTTTTCTAGAATCTAGATGATTTCACACACATATTGAACTACTACTACTGGTTGAAGTGTGAATTTATCATAATATACTTAAAAGATAGAAACTTTGTCATGCCACTATTAATCCTATTTTCCAGAGGATTAATCAGGTCAATTGGGGGATGGTGACAAGCATTGGAATCAAGCCAGGATGCGCATTTCATCCTATTTGGGCTTCGTCAGCCAATGGATGCACCTGCATTCCCCAGTGAGTGATGGATGGTGTTCCCACTGAGGCTCAAAACAAGTGCCAAAGCGTTATCCTTTAGACCACTTGGGCCATGAGTTGAAATCTAAATAAATTAGGAATAATCAAGGTTTTAAAAATCGTCTATAATGTTTGGAGGTTCTGTTGCACACAAGGAAAGACAATTATTACCATACGGTACTATTTTTAACTTCATTCCTCCGCGTTCCGAGGGAAATATAAGGCATCAAACCTTGAACTTTGAAGTTGCAGTAGCGATGATTCTTGATGTTATGGAATGGTAGGCAGATGGTTGCTTTCCTCTTCTCTTTTTTTCCGGATTTACTGCCGGATAAGCGAGGTTAAGGAGTGAGTCGGTGTTGTAATTATATATATATATATATATATATATAATCACAACAGCGTGGTACATTGTGGGTCCCAAGAGATGCGCTGGGGTACTGCTCAGATGCCCAGACCGAAGCAGGTGGTTGTCTTAAGCGGTCACCTGCAAGCCTCTGATTTGAAGTCCAATCAATAAAGCAGTGGAGCAGTGTCAGGAGCTAAGTTACGATGGTTTTTGATGGCTAAAACAGGTCCATATGTCATTAGATCCTTTTGGATTTTGAAGATCATGCACACCATAGATATTTGGAATCAGGGTTTTCTAGCTTCCATAGATATAGACCAGCATATCAGTCGGTCTGGTTGTAACTGCCACACTTTCGCATTCGCCTTTTCGATTATGTGGAGAATACTTCCGCTGCTTAAAGACAATCAATAGGACTTACGTAGCAGAGGTTGTGAACGCGTGACCACATGAAAGCGTTTAAAGAAGAAGAAGAAGAAGACCGAAGTCTGCCCACTGTCTGTCCCTGGGAATTATACTGTAGATACGGTCCGGAGTTATGTAGTAGAAAATATAAATTACTATGTGCAACCTGATTTCTTAAATGAAACAACCATGCTAGATAATGCAGTTATAAGTTCACTAACAGATCTATGCATATAAAAACAGAATGTTAATTATTCATATGCATTATAATATTCCACTGAATGGCAAAGTTAAACCTTAAGCACCACCAACTACCAATTAGCGAATGACCTCGAACGCACCAATCAGGTGAAGGAGGCACTTTTGTGTGTAGAATACATATATTTATGAAAAAGATGTATAAAAACTGTATAAAAGTGTTACAGAGGACACCTTTCTCTCACATTTGAAAAAAATAGCTCTCAGTTGTAGGTTGGAGTATCAACAGATTATAATCCCATTGTGGGTAAAATTTATTTTGTTAAAGTCTCACGGTGTTATACAGTAATATTTCCTGAGCAATAAACTGTGCTCGAAACGTACTCAGTAAATGTTACTGTATAATATTGTGAGAATTTATGAAAATAGATTTTACCCACAATGAAATTATACTCTGTGGTAGCTACCACAGTGCACAAGTTCTATTCTTATATCAACAGAGTGATTTAACCACATTCTATGTATGTAAATATTTAGGTCTTCCAACCCTAACAATAACCCTAATCTTGCCTTAACCCAACTCCAACGTGAAAATATGCCTAAACTAACCCTAATCTAACTTGAACTAACGCTAATGTCACCTTTAATAGGTTAACCTAACCCTAACTTGTCATTGGTCTAAACCTTAACTTAATCTTTCCCAAACCTAGGGTGAAACTTGCTAGAAATCCCATTTTATAGCATAACACTTCGATGAGGATGTTTTATTGGTGATGACAACATTATTTGCCAGGTTTCAATAACTTGCTTGGTGAGCGTTTCAAGGTCATTGGTGCGGTCGCACTTTATTGGAGTTTTGTGGGGTCTTTAAAGCATAACTTGGCCAACTGAATGTTGACGATTCATACAACTACCACCTTTCACATAGATCTAAATATTTAGGAAGAGATACAGTTAGGCGTGCTTCTAAGATTGACATGGAGACGATCATGTGCAGAGGTAATGAAAGCTAAGAGATAGTCGTGGAGCCAACTGAAATCGGCTGTAGTGGAAATATGCCAATGAGGCCCTAAGTTCCACTCGGAACGTAAGAAATAAATAAATAAATAATAATAATTTGCTAGCAAATCAGCTATTCCCACTGAACCATATATGAGAAAAAGCGTCCAGTGAAGAGTCACTCTCATTTTCAAACTGTACAATCGCATGTATATGGTAACTTTTTCATCGAACACTTACCTTCATGGTTTTATAAGGGTGGAAAAGGATCGCCCCGCTGCTTGACTCTGGACACCAACCGAACCGACAAATCAATCTCAAAGTCGTCTATACACCATTCAAAAATCTTGCCAAAAGGAATACGAGTCAAACTACTTTGATTGGTTGGAGGATTTCGTCATGAACTGATATCTGTTAGAGAACCATTGGAAAACCTGCCAGGAGTACTGGACAGCTGTTTCGTCAGCCTGGTTTGGGACTCTTCATCAGTGGCTTAATGATCTACGAGCTCGCCTTGTAATCAGAAAGTCCTGGGTTGGAACCCCGGTAAATGCGTACTAATGAAGAGTACCAAGCTAGGACGAAACAGTCATCCAGTACTCCTAGCTGGTTTTCCAATAGTTCTCTAACTGATGTCAGCTCATGATGAAATCCTTTATCCAATCAAACTAAATCCCTACAAAACGCAATACTTAAAAACTACTTTAAACCACAGAAGCGATGGCAATGCATCTGATAAATCCTGAACTGTACACATAAAAGAAGTATGTTCAGTTACTGAATCTACAGTGGACCTAATTCATCTTAACACTGGATATGTAATTTTTTAGGAATATTATTTGTCTGCCTGTACCCACCCCCACCCCCAACCACCAATATTTCATTTCTGTCCCGTATGACACTGATTTCACCCTAAACCTCCTTCAACTTTTTTAGTAGAGCTCTACTCCTACCTGTCAATTATAAATATAACGTCACGCAATCTACTTATTTAACTTGATTTTAGTTTGTACACGATTATTAACTCTTTCTGTATTACTCAATTGGCGTCTAAAACGTGTACAATTCTAATGACACACACATCTTTGGAACACATTCCTTTTGTTACTAAGGCAACTTACTCTCTATATATATATATATATGCGGTTGTACAGCTTAAAAATGATATCTCTGATGAAAAGAATAACTCTACCCACTGAAGAAGAAGAAGAACACCTTTTCTTTTATTTGCTTAGCGATTAATTCAGCCTTTGTCAATAAAATTCATTAATTTATGATAAATATGCAAAGTATTTACGGGAATAATCGTAATTTCCTTTGTTCTTAAACTTTATAATAATTCCCCTTAGAAGTGTAACATTTGTACAACTAAAATGCTAAAATTTGAGGGCAGATAATAATAATAATAATAATAATAATCTACTTTATTCCAAAAACAGTACTACTTATAATACAGAATGAAATTCTCAGCATTTGTCACAATACCTTGCATCTGATTTACCAAAAAATACAAATGAAATTAAAACAAAATTAACCAGAGGAACTTGTCCACGTTTACGATATAAAGTCAAAAATATTCGAAGCACGAATTGAGAATATTAAATATAATAATAATAACAATGGGTTTGTTACAAACAGTATTGTCGATACAGTTTGGAAATTTTAGCATGTTATAAATTATTGAATCTAATGTTCTGTTGATATAGTATAGTGAGGGGAAATACAAAATTAACAGCTATAACACAGCTTAAATGATGTTTACACTTATGAAAAATATAATTGAAAACAAAACATTGAGAGGATTATAAATATAAGAAATACAATAACAATAAAGTATGATGCTTTAAGCGAGAAGGAAATGGTTTATTTAGTGGTGCTAAGATGGTTAGTTAGTTCATGTCTGACACTATTTTCATCACATAAAGTACGTACCGCCAAATATGGTATAGTGGAGTTTTTCTACTTAGACGAACGTGCATAAAATCTTCTGAAAAGACTTCTTGTTTTACCTGAGGAGACACAAAGTTGGAGTTGCGGGTAAGGTAGGTGCTCAGAGTCTGACAAAATTCCTTTATCGAATTTGTTGCATGACATCAAGTGCCTATCAATGACAATGTCAACGATATGGCCCAGTGGGATACCACTCGCCTTACTGACAGTCTTCAGAGTTCTACGAAGTATGACATAGTCTTTTTTAAGCAATCGAGGAAAGAATAAGGGTGAACAGTAAAGAAGAATAGGTAAAATACACGAGTTGACAAACTGTAAGATGAGTGGTTGGGTTATGCATGAGTGCCTTAACTTCTTAATGTAAAAAGTCAAACGAAATATTCTTTTAGAAATCGCTAAAACATGGGAAAACCAAGATAGGTCAGAAGAAAGAACTAATCCAAGATACTTAACTTCAGACTTGGTTTCTATATCAGTATCATCAATTTTGCAAGGGTCATAGGAACCAACGGCTTCATTTAACTTTTGTTTACATCGGAAACTGAAATTAACAGTCTGACATTTGGAAGGATTTAATTTAAGGCCATTAGACAAAGACCATTTGCTAATTCCTCATAGAAAGCTGTTCATCTTAGTACAATCCAGACATTGAAATAGTTAGATCATCGGCATACTTAACAAAGTTCATTTCATCATCAGAGTGAGGCAAGTCATGCATGAAGAAAGAAAACAGAAAAGGAGGAAGGACAGCGCCTTGAGGGACACCACTGCCTTCATTGTGGATGGCAGACGCCTGTTAACTGTGATATTTCAATCATTTATTTGTGAAGTGTTTCACATAAAAGGTGATCATTCTGACTAGAGACAGTTCAAATTTCTTCTCTTCATAGTTTCCCAGTCTTGGCTTTCCTTTCAAAAACAAGAAACGACTGCATGATTAATATCTGTTTTATTGGGTAGTAGAGGTCCTTCATTGCTTCGTTGCCATAGTTTCTTATTATTTATCTTTTCGGAATGGCCATTTTAGTATGGAGTAAATGGGTCAGGTGTGGCAATGAAAGTCTGCAGTTGCTACCGGTTAGAAATGAAGTTTAGTCTTGAAAACCCAGATTTGTATTACTCTTGTCCTGATTGCAAGGAGGGGGGGGTTCACATACGGATTTCCAAGTGATGTAGGTCTGTAGATCTTGCTTTTCCGATCTTTGACAGCCTCATCTGTGCCATACATGACTGTAGTTGCACCAAATGCTGTGACTAATAATAGTAGTGATAATAATTAGTTTGAGGTGCTGAGTAGTGGTTGCTCAGTGAAGAGATAGAGATACTCTTTCCAGAGATGATATCATTCTCACTCAAACTGTACAATCAAAAATACCTATCATCATCTGTTGTCATAACATAACAACAAAAGGAATTTTTCTAAAGATATGATAAATGAAATATTTTGAGTTTTAGATAACAATGAACAGACTCTAAACTATGTAACATACCAAAGTATTAATTAGGCAAAGACTAAAGAAAAAATTAATTCAGTTAAAATTGATTGACGTAACTCAACTTACAGGTATTGAGTAGAGTTCAACTGAGTGTGTAAAAAGACCAAGTCAAATTCAGTCTCACAAGAAGCAGTAGTAGTAGTAGTAGTAGCGGTGTTTTAATGATGATGAGGCCAAAAAATTATTCTAAAAACAAATCACGCGTTAAATGATGAAACAAGATCAGATTCATTGTAAATTCATTGACTAAACAAACTTCTTCTGTATGCATAATTCTGAATTTAACAGATTGCCATAGCTTCTGTGCTTTGTAGAAGTTTGACTCGTACACCTTTATAAGTTAATGATTAAAGGAAGCAGGAATTAAGATAGTAGCAAGTTGCGTAATTAATGTTCTAATTGGTGGTGTACTCTGTGGAGCATAACACTTGTGGTTATTTGTTTTCAAATCAACTTTGATTTTCCTATTGATTGATTGATTGACTGGACGGGAATTTTCGCTGCCCCCCCCCTCCCCTTTCGATATATCGGCGTCTAGTACGGGTGCTTCGACGATGTCTAAGAATCGATCAACACTGATGTTATTTAGTGGATGGTGACTAGCAGGAATTCTGTGTCGGAAACTGGAGTAATATCCTAATGAGTGTTTCCAACGATTTGAAAAAGAACAAGGACCCTTCGACAGTGAAGGAATTCAACGGTTTTCTACATTACTCTGTCAAACTTGCCGAAGTAAATACAAATTGGAATTCTTCAAAAGCTGTATTAAAAATCGCGGAAGCTCTGTGTAGACATCATGTATAGATTCTAATTCGAAAACTCTTCAACGTCACACTAGAAACATCATCGATTCCATCAGTTCACGTAAATATTCGAATTGCAGAGAAACATATCACAGAGATCTTCCGCTCTTTGTGAATTATCATCATGCGAGAGACAATCGTTTAATGAATATGTTACACTGTTGCAGAATGGAAGAGTGGAAAATGTTAAATCGGATTTGAATAAAAGCCTGAAACCCGTGGAAGTCCAGAATACGTTTCCCAGCGATCCTAATAAATTTGTCTTCAATCACTCTTCAGTTACGTTATCAACGGTACAAACTAGAAGCTCTATCTCTTGGACTAAAATTCTGTAACGTAAATCTTAACAGCAACAGATTTCACACGTGTATTCAATTCGAGAATCTTATAAGCCAAACGAATGACATTACTCCAGTTTCCGACATAGAATTCTTACACTCTTACAAGTTTTAACAATTTTCGACTGTTGTAATCAGTCGCTCAGCTCGAAAACTAAAGCCTGACGCGTCTCCTGACAAAAGAACACAGAAAACAACTCATAGAACTGAGAGAGACAATAAAGATTTAATAATAACACGTCCTGACAAAGGTTCAGGAGTGATCCTAACGGATAGAGATGTATATATGAATGACATTTGCCGATTGTTACACTGAAACCGACGTGCGTGTTAGTCAGTCGTTTCCTGTATGACCCCGCCTAGGACTTTGATTCATGCAGCATTCTCATTTACAAAAAGATTACATTTTAGAAACAATGATCTAATCTGTGTTTTTTGTCTTCCATATTATCTTACAGATATTTGCTCGAGAACTGTTTGTTTCTGAAGTACAAGAAACTCTGCCAGCTAAACAACTACGTGGCGTGTGTAAAGTGAATTATTTGCCTGACTTAAAAACAGCCCTGACAACATTTTCACCAGACGAAGATGATAGCTTTTTCTATGTTTTTGCTTACAATCCCGAGACGCGTCGTTTATCCAAAATTCGTGCAGAAATACGCGTAAGTTATCTTTGAGTGTTTGTTTGTTACTATTTGAGGAGGAATGGAAATAGTGAAAGTTCAAGTAGTAATTTGCCTACTATTGCTTCGATCTGACACATTCATATTGTGTATGAAGGAAGACGGGTTAGATCCTGTTAAATGGACCCATCCGTCGTCATTGCATGTAAATAGTCTTCTTGTATGAATTTATGTGAATTACATCTATTCAAGATATGGCTTCTTTCTCAATAAGTTCGTTCAACACTGATACTAGTAACTAGTGCGACGTGTCTAGTCCTTTCTTTGGTGCAGACTGAATTCTATCAGTCAGGTTTGCAATGTGGCCACCGTTCTAGGTAGCTCGCCATCATGGTGCACATTGATTTGATGATATTATATGGTTGGATGCAATCGGCCACAGGAAGCCTTGCATGACCTAGGTTTCGTGCTAGTTGGCACTCGTCAGCAAGGCGTTTCTGCAACCTTGAAGGAACTCATGTTCCTTCTGAGATTCGGACCCGCTTCACTCAGTGAGTGCTGCAGTCAGAGATGTTGTCACTGAGCTATTCAAGCTCGCGATTGACCTCCTGTAGGACTGTAGTGGATACTTTGATTGGACCCTAGTAACTAGTGTGATGTGTCTAGTCCTTTTTGTTTGTTAAAGTTAGCATTGTGTGGTGATTGTGCAATTTCATGGCTGTATTCTATCGTAACCAGTGTATTCCCCCTGCTCTTTCTACCTGACTCTTAAGTAGTGTTCTATTACAATGCCCGAATGTTTATCCTTAACAGTAAGTCATCTATAGTCGACAGAAATTTATGGGGAAACTTGTCATTAGCACATACATACTAGTCATGGGATCACTAAATGGGCCAGTCATCTATTATTCATTTGATAATAAAATGTCTAGAAAATCATAGAGGATGACAACTACCAAACAATATAAAACAATTTCCAAGTGTTATCTTTTTTGTTGCGGTGATTCAATTGTCTCCAAGTTGCATCACTGATTAATATCAGTTAGAGAAACACTGAAGATCAGGGAGTACTGGGTGGCGACAGTTCTGTTGTTATTTGGGACTCTTCAGTAGTGCGCATCCACGACCCTCCACCGCCACCACCACAGATCGAACCCAAGATCTTCAGTATATGAACTGATTTCGTTAACCATTCAGTTACTGGGGCGGAATCCAACGGTCCATGAGTTCTAACTTCTGCTAGCTCACGATATATATAACGTGGTCGCCAGCCAATATCTCATGTGGTGGCACTGTGTATTAAAAACTGTCAGAAGTCACGAATTCATGCACCTTTGGATCCCGTCCGAATCGTTGAATGGTTAATGAGATTACTTCGTATCCTGAAGATCTTGAGTCATGGAAGCGTACTGCTGAAGAGTCTCCAATAGCGACGGAGCATCTGTCCAGCTACTACCCCGTTTTCCATGGCAATCCAACTGAATGAAACTAACTAGAAACTGTCCTGATCGTGAATAACTGCATATTAGTTTTAAAACTATATATGTTCTTATCTTACCAGATAAATACTGGTACCTATAGGAACAATCTATGTTTTACTAGTTAGCAGAGAGAAGGCTGAAACGCGTTAGTAAAACAAAAAATAAAAGTGGAAAACGGTGTATGACTGCAATTGAAGAAAACTCAGTGTAAAGCCTTCTGAAAACTATCGAAGAGTATGATCTACCAGCTTGTTTTGATGTCAGAATTTAATCCTGGAGCTCGCTGAAAACATGAAAATCATCCCAAACTAGGATTTTTTTTGTTAAGTATTCCTTTATTCCTTCACAGTTACCAATGTGCATTGGTGGTGATTCGATGTCAGAATGCTTTCCAGCTATACCGGTGGTCCAGATTTGATTTCAGGCCGATGCACTGCTGAATCTGATTTCTTTTTCTAGCCGAGAGTATACCAGAAATACGTGAGAAGGTTATGCGTGAGGCTAGCACGTTGTCCCATCTCATAAAAACAATTCCACTACTGCTGAAACTTCAAAAGTTGAAGCCCCTATATGTTCCACTCAAATTGTATGCAATGGTTGACTTTGTTCTGTTGATGTCATATACTGTCACCCTGATAATATCTGAAACTTCTTCTCCCATTCTATTCATTCTCCAAACAAATATGCGTAACTTCCAGGTGAAACACTGAAAATGAACCGCCAACATTTTCTATCATATCGGCAAAACTGTTTTTATGGAACACTATTTAAGCGAAAATATGTCTATTTTCTGTGGATACTCATTAGACTTAAGCATATTATATTATAGTGCGTCGGTGGCACAGCGGTAGAATGCTCTCCAACCACGTCACGCATATGGTTCGGGGTTCGATACCCGGCCACTGGACGCACTCCTTTACCTCGCTAAAGTAGTAATAAGACTAGTAAAAAGAGGGAAGGTTGAGCATCCCGTAAAAATAAATGCCACTGCTACAGAAACTTCAAACCTCTCGCTTGAATCCCCAATGTTCCACTGGGAACGTGAAGGAATTAAAAAAAATATATATATATTATGAAATATTAATCTTGGGCATTTGAACAGTCTGGTTATTAGAACTATGGTTCAGGGATGTGAATTAATGGTAATGACAAGGATAAATCCATTTAAGTGTTTATGTAATTTAGTTAGTCATGACTGTGTGTATATTAGGGGAAGGATAGAGGGGAAAATAACTTTTGTCACATGGCGATTAAATAAAATAACGATAACAATAAATTGTGAAACTAAGATTAAAATATGCCACTATAGCACAGCGTGATATTGGTAATTAAGTTGGCAGTACAAATAAAAGTGATATTTACAGTTATCCGGTGTCACCAGGAAAAGTAACTATACTAGGTGTTGGCTTTGTGAAAGCCATGGGAGGGGGGAAGGGATTGAACAAATTTTTTCTGAACACAGAGATTACTCAAGCTATTCTTAACTATCGAAGGCGTACAAACTTGCAGAATGGGGGTGGTACCTTGTATAGAATTTCTAAATTCTGAATTCTTATCAGTATACGGAACTCCCGGTTAACTTTATGACTCCTTTACGCCACCATGTTGGTCAAGAAGGTGACGATGAGGTTGCTCCGAGATTATGGCTCTTTGGCATCATCACTTGACTTTCAGCCATTCGGTTGTGGATTGTAATTCATCTGCAACCTAATTGATTCTGGAGAATTATCTGGTTCGTATCATCATCGACTCTAACACAATAAGCTTGTGACATACAGCCTAGATAAATAAAAAATCTAATCCTGTTATAACTGAGCTGTTATAACCAGCCGTGACTTTCATCGGACTCGAATATTGTGTCTATCATTCTTGGTATTATTATTATCATTATTGTTCCCTTGGGTTCCTAGTGGAACATAGGGCTTCGACTACATGTCTCCACTCGCTTCTATCTTCTGCTGTACTTTTCACCTGCGTCCGTGTTAATCCATACTGTTTCAACTCCTCTTCACACGATCTCTTCCATGTCACTCTTGGACGTCCCACTCACCGCTTCCCTTTCGGGTTCCACTTGAGCTATGGCCTGACGCGCGATGTCACCTAGCGGCCTCCTCAGCCAGTGAGTGTCCAATCCATCTCCACTTTCTCCTGTATATTTGTTGAGCGATTGGTTCTTGTTTTGTCTGTTCCCATAGTTTCTTGTTGGTGATTCTTTCCGGCGGCCATCTGATCTTCAGTGTAGAGCGAAGACAGTTGTTGATAAAGGTCTGCAACAGGCTGTTGGAAATATTCTTTGTGACCCGCCAAGTTTCTGATCCGTATAGAAGAACTGACTCATTCTTGGTAGTCTCACACAATTGTAGCCTCTCCTTTGTGCTCACTGTGAATGAATCATTTTCAGGTATCAGAGTTCGTACGTACGTACACACACACACACACACACACTAAGCTTAAAGTACAAGTACAAGCAAGTATACTCTTGATATCACAAATGACATTTTTTACCTGTTGCACCAGACTTTTCACACTGTTATTATAGTATTGGAGGAATCTTTTACAATGAAATTATTTCATAATACATTTGTTTCATATTAAGTGAGCTGTATGTTTCTTTTGTTAAGCAATACATCTAAGCTTGTCTAAGCATTTTTTCCTCATTTCCTGAGGTTCTTTCGTAGTAACTAAATATCAGTCTTCATCTTAAATGTTCTCCCCAACTTTTCTTTTCCAGGTTGGTCAAGCCTATCAAGCCGCCTTACCAGAATTTCGTCATCATCCACCTGCCGCCTATCGTTTTAACAATAGAAATTGTGTGAATCATTCACGTAAGCGTAAACGTTGTACGCATAAATCAGCAGATCAAGATACACATTCACTCCCGCCACATTATGATCATCATCATCATCACCCTCGTAAGCATAGACGTACCAGTAATGCTTCACCGCACCAATTGACTACAGTTAACACATTGCATAATCATGAATTACAGCCGTCAAATAATGATGTTTCTTCAGATGCTCTCGATGACGGTGGTACTCGTGGTGGTGGTGTTGGTGATGGTGGCGATATTTGTGGTACAGCTTCAAAGATGTCCGATGGTGATGATGATGATCATGATAATGCTGATGCTGATGACAACAAACCGTTAATCAATAAACCAAAAATGGATATTCCAAAATCTCCTAAAAAATTAGACACCTTCAACAACGACGACAATGATGATCATGTTGACGATCATAATGATGATGAAGACATGCCATGTAAAACAGAAGCGACTGTCAACGCATCTGTAGACTTGTCAGAAAGCATTAAAAATGTACAAAAGATAGAGTCTTCTTCAATTAGTGAACCATTAGCAGCGTCAAGTTTACCACCAAAATTAGAGAATGCAAATCATTTTGATGATGATGATCACATGTCGGTCGATCCGATGAATACGGACGACTTGGATCATCCTCCTCATCCTCAGCCTCCTAATCATCACCACTATCACAATCATCATCGGCACCATCAATGTCATCCTGCTTGTAATCATAAAAATCATGTCTATCCTGGAAGACAATCTCATCATCGAAAGCGAAGAAGAGGAGGAGGAGGACATCGAAGATGTCGCCGTCGAAAATCACAAAAAAGGGAGATACTTGTTTGGAGTCCATGTGGTTTATCTTCTGCTCTGTCGGGTTCTTGTAAAGACTTCAATTCAATCATCGCTAGCACTACTGTGAATGATCATCAGAACAATCCACATACTGTTGATAATGATGATAACAATAATAATAACAATAATGCAAATACTGTGCTAAATAGTATCAGTTCAGATTTCAATTCTATGCTATCAGATGAACCATTGAAAAACTACTTAGATGCTGTTCGATCAATGGTAGCATTTTTTGGTTTCGGTGGTGCTGAAGATGATTTATCCTCGGCTGAAAATGGTCTGGTTCTTGCCAATCTTGCCGCGACTACTCAACACGCCTATGATACTCTGCATAAATGTAAATATTCATTAAGAAATGCTCTACAGGCGATATCGTGTAATCCTATTGTGGCTAAGGTTAGTTCATTGATCCGTTTATTTTCTACTTTTTTGAATATCATTTATTGTAAAGTGTTCATTTAATGAAGAAGTATATTTGTAATAATTGAAGATTTCGTCATAAAATGGCATTAATTTGAGAATGTGTGACCACAGGATAGTCGTTCTGTCCCACAAATCCACGATGAGTCCAGCATGTTGGGTGTGAAGCGGGTGTTCATTGGTGGCTTTGGTTAACGGTGATGCTGTATCATGAATTGACAGAAGTTCCAATGTGTGGGGACTTATCAGGCACTCAAATAGTGGCTTAGCTCGTTGATCAAACCATCTTGATTCTGTCCCACCTGAGGACTTCCAGAGTAGGACGGCACGAATATGCATCGCTCTATGGTGATTTTCCAGTGATTTTCCACTTGATATCTTTCTATCCATGAACAAATTCACATTGAATTCATCAAATTTCGGCAGAAGTCTTCCTCAGCTGAGTACTCTATATACACGGATATATATATACTTTTGAAATTACATTCGGAGATATAGGACTGATAAGTAAACAAACTACATTGAATTAGTGATGCAGAAAGACAGGTGCGAATGTTTTCTAGGTCATGTTCAAATAGATAAGGAGAGAGAGAGAGAGTATGAGAGATCAAAATTAAGATGAATTGCATTACGCTTCAGTTACATCACTTAGATAAACAATTAGACATTAGAGAATATAACAAGAATTGCAAACAGAGTAATATCAATCAATAGCAATAGTTATAATAACAATAATAATAATAGTGTTGAAGTGAGTTAAGATAATCCTACTGATAAAGGATAGTTTTAAATGACACAAGAATAATAATAATAAGAGGTAGAATAATAAGTAAAACGCATTACCATAGTAGATTCAGAGAGACCTGGTTTATAAACTCGAATTGCACAAGCCTCCTCAGCACTTGCAAGCATCTTCCTGTTTCTTTACCTACTTACTGGCGACAGTGAATGACTTGGTCGCGTCGATATCATGTTCGTAGTCCACAAGATATTTTGTTATTAAGGATTTTGGCAGTTTGCACTCAGCTATTTTCAACCATTTTGGCAAATGCTCCATCATGTGAGCAAACAATCGCCTTTCCATACGACCTATGCTTATTTGCTTTCACAAACATACTCAAATGCTCCAAAACTTGTTATCCTTAACACCATTAAGCGAGTGCTTCAACAATCGACGCGGCCAAGTCATTCAGTGTCACCAGTCAGCAGACAAAGAAACAAGAAGATGCTTGCAATTGCAGAGGTTTGTTCAATTCGAGTTTATAAACCTTGTCTCTGTGTACAAAAGAAGATGGTCGTGATTCTGAATCTACTACTATGGTGAGGACAAGTACTCGCAGATGACATTGGCTAGTGATCGCGCTACAATCACGAATTGGTAGAAGTTAGATTTCATGGACTGGGCATTAGATCGAGTCTCAGTGGCTGAATAGTCTACGAACTTGCCCTGGGTTCGGTACCTCGGTGGCTGCGTTCTGCAGATGAGTCTCAAGCAAAAATGAAACAGCTGATTGTCCAGTACTCCATGCTGGTTTTCAATTTTCCTCTGACTGATATCAATCGGTGGTCAAACTTGAAACATCTCTATCTATTTATTTATATGAGTAATATTATTATCAAGATAATAATAATAATATACCATGTAATCATGATCGTCTTTATTTTTTAATGCACAGGATACGCCAAGGCATTGGACAGCTGAACAAGTCCGACTGTTTGCACATGCACTACGTATCCATGGAAAAGATTTTTTTACAATACAAAGAAATTTCTTCGGTGGAAAGACATCAACTAATAACAACAATAATAATAATAATAACAATAACTCTAACACCAACAATATCAATAATAACAATAGTGCAACTAATGCCAATGGGGGCACTGGTCGTATACGTGGTCGTGGTCGTCGTAAACTTGTACCTGTTAGTAGTAATAATGGTACTGCATCAGCCTCAAAACTATCCAGTATGAAATCAGACGAGAGTGAAGGTGGTAATTCAACGACAGCCACAGTGACGTCAGCATCAACCGGTGGTAAATTAGAAGAGGTTAAGTCTGAGGATGCTGTAGGTGTTTCAAATACTGAATCATTACACGATAATGGGGAATCAGCAGAGAATAATGCTACAACACGTGAGTTTGTATTCTTCTGTTTCGCATTACTTCATTGGTTTTTGAGTGGCACATATGGAAGGCTTCAACAGCCTATCCCCATTTCACCTGGTTCTCTGCAATCCTTTTAAGCTGGCTGGCTGGTTGACTGACTCCACGATCATCCACAAGCTTTCATCTCCTTATACAACCTTCTTTCTCCATATCACCCTCGGACTAATGGCCCGATTCGTTTCCAATTCGGCTTCCACTCGAGGGTCTGCCTGTCGCCTGATATCACTCAACGGTCTCCTCGGCCTGCATTTCTTACTGCATACATGTTGGGCGATAAGTTGTTGGTTGGTTTGTTGACAGAGTTCCTTGTTGCTTGTCTGTTCTTACTAGCCAATCATATGGTTTTCGGTACTCAGCCATGTCAGTTGTTGATGATAGTTTTCTGCGAGCTCTTTGAAATGCTTTTCATAACTCACTAAGTTTCTAAACTATATATATAAAGGCACTTATTAAGAATTACTGTCAAAGAATGCTAGGTAACGAGGAGAAGACGGTCGACGAGGTTGTGTGGCTACATCAATTGAGATAGCTGGGACACGTGCTGCTCTCATGACAAGTAACTTCCTTTCTCGACAAGCAATAATGTTAGTTGACATTGAATTAGGTTAGAAAAGAGTTAGGATAGTCTCTAATCAATATATATTTTATCAATCCGTAAAGTCTTTAACAGTTGGTTTAGGCTACCCCACGTAGGGAGGTGTAGACCGCCTGGTTGGGATCCCCCGGATGCTAAGAACCAAAGGCTGCGGAGAATCTCTTTTTCTCTTCTCTATATTTTTTCGTGTTACATGGAGTATGACAACTTGATCTGCTGCAGCACTTTTGTGCAAAATTCTGCGTTGAAACTCAGTCACAATCACAATCAAACAGTCATTTTTGTGTACTTCTACTTTTTCAACCTGCTTTTCTAAAAAGCTTCAATCAAATGATGTATACTTGGGATTGTGTGTATAGTCTCTTAAAAACTAGTTATTCTTAAAATTGGAATACGTATTCACCAGAACTGTTTATCATTTCTACTTTCTGCTTTTTTTGGTTTCCAAGTACTGATTTAACTAAATGACTGACTGGCTTCAACATAGAACTTTGAACAGGAGTGCGGCAGTTCGTGTTGCCGCACACTCCATTTAGCTCATAGGGGAAGACTAAAGGGCGAAAAAAGAACGATACTGAGCAGAAATGTGAGGAAGAAACAATAGGAGTTTTTTAATATGGCAGATCTCAGAGAGTGAATGCATCATCTGTTTCGTTGAGGACAATTTTGAGCCAATATCTCCAGTTGCCTCCAGTCTTCATTGATTCCCTACCATCCTGAGGACCCCAACCAGCCAGGAAGTCTACACTTCCTTACTTGGCTGCCTCATACTGACTGTCAAAGATTGCATAGATTGTTTCCAAGTTTTGGTCTGACCACTTGTAGCTCTTTTCTAACTTAATCCAACGTCGGCTAAAATTAAGCGTCGAGGATGGCTATAGCTAGGCATGCTTAACATATGTGTCCTAACAATCTCAGTCAGTGTAGCTTCACAACCTCATCGATTGACTTTTCCTCCTTTCCTAATACTCAACGCCTGAACCCAATATTACTCACCCCAATACGGGACATAGAACTCAGACACCTGTGATCAAAGACAGTACTAATTTGAAGTTGTTTAATTGAGCTTTCAGTCATTTTTGCATTCTACTTTACAGGTATAAGGAGGAAATACACCTTGAACTATTGTTTCTTTATGTCTCAATAATATTTATTTTTATTCTTTTTTGTTTTCTATCCTATTCAATTCTGGATTCTTGATATACAATAGAAAAAGGTTTCAATGATGGTAACGGCAATACACCATCAGGTTTACTTGCTGCTACTACTACAAGTGAACCAGTGAAGACTGTCAAAGAATTAATAGCCTTCTATTATTATTGGAAAAGAAAAGGAACCTCATCCTCATCACTTGGCGGAGGACATGGTGGATTGAGTGCAGCTGCTGCCAACTTTGCCACTGCTGTTGTTGCAGCTGCACTGAATACTGATAACACTCTACCATCATCAAGTGTCAACAGTAGTAGTAGTGGTGGTGTTAATGGTGGTGTTGCGTCGTCGTCGTCGTCATTATCATCAGCAGCAGCAGCTGCTGCAGTTGCAGCCTCTGAAGCAGGCAATAATTCCAATGGGAATATATTCTCTTCTTCTCAAACACACTTCAATGCATCATCTGTTAAGAAACGCAAAGCTACAAATCGTGGATGTGTCCGTAAGTATTCCATATATATACACATATATTTATCCTGAGTATGTTGAAATATTTTTTGTGTTGTTTTGTCGTGTTGTAGTTGTTTAATAACCTCCTCCTAATCAACACCTGTTCTACTAGTAGGTTGATGTTGAGAATGTATGCCTTTTGGTGGTCTGTGTCAGTAAAATTCAGCTTCTGTTCATAATTAATTGTTATTATTATTATTATCGAATCGCAAACTTGATACATTGTGGGCATTGAGAGATGCGCCAAACAAAATCCTATAATTTATGCGAAGACCTAGACACTTCCCGGACTCCCAGAGCCAAACCCCGGGGCTTTGACCTAAAGTTTGGTCCAAAAAGGTGTAGAGTAGTGTGAGGAGCTGTATTTCATGGTTTCTTGTGACCAAAATGAGTTCATACGCTACTCGATTCGTTTCTCATGTTCACACTATATGAGGGTTTTCCAGCTACTGTAGGGGGTGGTCCTGCATATCATCAACTCGTCCAGTTATAAGTGCAAGAAGTTGGTGGGAAGGAAGAGACTGTGTACTAGTGACGGACCACATGATGACAGCATTTGGAATGAATGACTGAAATCTACCCACCCTCCGCCCTACCAGGCTGTTTGTAAGGACGCACAAAGTGTTTAGTTAAAATTTATTTAGCGATAGATAGACCATGGTTGATCCTGGTTCAACCTCCGGCCGAAACATTTCTGAACTCTGGAAAAGAGGGAGGCTTGGATGTCAGGTTAGCAAACCTATCCCGTAAAAATGGGCAACACCCCTTACGTCCCACTAGGAAAGCAGGCATAGTGAATTGATATTTTTCAAATCCCTAATGCATCATCGACTGTTTTTGGTGGAGTTCAGATAACTCTATATGGTAATAGATTTAAGCATAATGCTTGCTTTCTAGATTTTGATCATCCCGAAATCTCATCCATTGGGATTGGGGGGAGGGGGGAATTATGCGAAGGACCAGACGTTTGCTACTTTCACATACTCTCTTTTGTTTCTGTTTGTGAAGGAATCACATAGTACTTGATTTGGATTCCTTCTAACTGACTGACTTGTTGCAGAGTAGGAAGACTACCTTGATTGGTCACTAGTTTGGTACAGATTGAGTTTAATCAGTCAAGTTTGCAATATGGCCGCCATGTCACCATGTGGCTCACCGTCACGGCACACTGTGAATTCTTGATATTAGATGATTGGAGGCAATTGGAAGGAAGCCCTGTAGACCTAGGTTTCGTGTTTCCTAATACTCATCAGTCAGAAGGAACTTATTCCTTTCCTGAGACTCTAACCCGTGTCACGCAGTGAGTGCTACAGTCAGAGACGTTACCACCATTGAGCTATTCGGGCTTGCTACTGACCTCCTATAGATCTGCATTGGACACTTTGACTAGATACTAGTTAGTAACTTGTGTGTGTGTGTAATATGTCGCCTTACTGTGACTAGCGCGAAACCTAGATCTTAGTCTTGCTGCCGATTGCTTCAAAGTATGTAATACAGGAAGGCTGCCGTCAATCACCCACAAATTTGTGACATACTGGAAGACTCGAAATATGCATTCCTTTCTGCTGTCATTCTGAAAGTTTGTGAATCGTTTTCTTAACTTACTTACTGTTTCCTTTGATTCCTAGAGGAACATAGGGCTTCAGCCATGCGTGTCTCCATTGCGTTCGGTTCTCTGCTAGAGTCTTCACCTGGCTCCAAGTCTGCCCACACGTTTTCATCTCCTCTTCACATGACCTCCTCCAAGTCACCCTTGGACGACCAACTCGCCGCTTCCCTTTCGGGTTCCACTCCAGTAATGGCTTGTCTAGTGATGTCACTTGATGGTTTCTTTCCTCAGAGTATGGCCAGCCAATCCATCTCCATTTCTTCCTGTCTATTTGTTTCACAATCGGTTCCTGGTTGATTCGCTCCTAGAGATCTCTGTTACTGATCTTTTCTGGCCATCTGATCTTGAGTATTGAGCGAAGACAACTGTTAATGAAGGTCTGTAGTTTGTTTCAAATGCTCCTTATGACGCGGAGTGCAAGTCTCTGATCCGTATAGTAGCACTGACTTCACAGTTGAGTTGAAAATCCGGATCTTATTTTTGATTCTGAGTGCTGTTGACCTCCACACAGACTTGAAAGTAGTGAAAGTTTGTCTTGCTTTCCCGATCCTTGCTTTGATATCTTCGTCAGTTCCGCCTGTAGTTGAAGGGATGCTTCCCAGGTAGGTAAAAGAGGTTTCTTTCAGGTTCCTTCCATTTAAGCTTTAAGGATACCTCATAAGTTTGAATGGACGGTTTTTATAAGCCGCAGCCATACTTATACACTTAGTGAAATCTTGGCGTTCATCACTTGACAAATCACATAACACAGATGATCGTTGTGGTATGTTTCTCTCCAGTTGTGGGACACATGAAAGACTGGAATCGATGTGGTTCAAAGTTTGACGTTTAAGAGATTTGGAGTTGAGACAAATATACAATCTCTGAGAAAATCGGAGACACCTTTCTCCACTAACATCCTATTTCATATTACGCAACCCTGGTCATTACTTACCAATCGTCACTCCCTAGTTACAATTTTGATTACTCATCACATTTTAAAAACATTTTGATAACACTAAACACAATAACGCTAACTAATTTTACTTTTTGTCTGACAGTCCTAATGTACACACACACACAAAATAATGATATATAAATGCGATTGTACAGCTAAGCAAATGAATTCCCCGAAAAGAGACTCTTCGCTGAATATTTTTCTTCTCATATTCATGTCTGGATGGGTATTTTCTGTGAATTATTAAAAACTAGCAAGGACCCTTTGACATTGAAGGAACTTAAATGGGTTTCTGCGCTATTCTGTCAAGCTTGCTGTGAAGTGAATGCGAAGACCTGTGTTTCTCAGAGATTGCATAAATAACACCATAGATATTCGAAGTGCTATTGGGAAGCTCTTCGTCGCAATCATATTTGTCTTAACTCCAAATCTCTTAAACATCAAACTTTGAACCACATCGATTACATTCTTTCATATGTCTCAGAACTGGAGAGAAACATAGCACAACGATCACCTGCGTTATGTGGATTGTCAAGTGATGGACGCCAGGCTTTCACTGAGTATATGAGTATGGTTATGAAGAAGTACACAAAAGCCGAACATTCAAACCTATTAATTAGCCTAAAAGCCACTGAAATACGACGCAAATTTCCAGAAGATCCTGCTACATTTGTGTTCAATCATTCTTCAGTAACTTTACATCCTAAATAACTGGAAGCCTTGTCTATCGAGCCAAAATTCTGCAGTATGAACCAAAAGATTTCAAGCTCTCAGCCAATAGGTCCCGTGTTCAAGAAGACTTCGTGTGCTTTTGGAAGTGTGGGCGGTTGTTACTTCCCGGCTGCCCGTACCGTAAAAGTTGGTTGATTCTTCGGGTACCTGAAACAGAGAGAGGGTTAATGTTGCGTGACCGCAGAGCCCATGGGTCAACTGCTTGAGACTGGTCACATACGGCCTGTACAAACTAGTTTCGAAGTAGTAAACTTAGTGCCGGTTACGGACCACTGTAGGTTAAGTCGGGATGTACAATTGTTGGAGTCGACCTTTTCTAACTCCTTCTCTCCAGAGTGGAGAGACAGCTTAGTTGGCTGGCATGCTAGTCATCTGAGGGAAATACTTTACTGCTGTTACACCCCTGTTCCCCAGCAGTACGATTTCGCCCACAGACCCCCAGCATAGCGTAAGAAAGATTCTTGTTGGGTTGTTGGGTCATCGCGATGTGCAAGCCCGACCACTACGTCAAGGTAGCAGCTATCGGTCGGGCTCGTGTTCAAGTCCTTCTCCACCTGCCTTTATAGCATGGATAAAACTGGACAGTATCACCAGCCTTCATACGCACACACACAATTAGCCTAGCACTTAGTCTTGTGCGTAATACATAATAGTATACCCTTCCCAGAGTAATTGTGTTAGTGAACTTCAATCATCTGTAAATGGTAGCAACGATTTTCAAGAATTAGATTTTCTTTTTAGGCTACTTTTAAATTTGCGAGTTTTTTTTAAGTAAGTAAGTAATTCAAAACAACTCAACTGTTAATTTTTCCACTGGATCAATACGATATATATCCAGACAAGGAAAAAGGACAAACACTTGAGCGAAGAGACTCTTTTCGAGAGATTAATTCATTTGGCTGAACAGTCGCAAATATGTGTATGTATGTATATATAATTATTTGCACGCGTGTATGTGTGTGTTTGTCTGTTTTCACTCACTCTGTGAAACATAACAGTAGAACGAAAGCAATTTAGTTTAAAGTATTGTTTACATCAATAAAATATTTCAAAACAGAGAAGACTCTACGGGGGAGAGGGGGGAAATAGGTGAAGATTAGTAACGTTTAGACTAGACAGTTGCGTAGTATGTGATAAAGACGTCCAGAAAAAAAAGTGGTTTTAATGAAAACAGCATATAGACAAGTATCTGATGTTCACTAGCAGTGATTGGCTATTTGACAAAGTTGCCCACATCTTTAGTAAGATGGAGTGGGTCCACCAGTTAGTCGGGTGTGTGTGGGGGGAGGCATACTTGCCGATGACATTGTTGACTTATTGTCAGTCACCCTAAAAATCGTGGATTGATAGAATTCGGAATTCCTGGGCAATTGGATTCCGTCCCAGTGACTCAATGGTCTACGTGCTCGTTTTGTAGCCTTAAGGGTCTTGGGTCCAAACGTTGATGGGTGGAGGGGGATCATGGACGCGTAACACTGCTCCTGACGTTGCGGGCTTTGCTCGCCAATCACGCTTGTGGTTCAGGGTTCGACCCTCGGACGACGTGCTCCTTTACCTCGTCACTGCTACTGAAACTTCAAAGCTATAGCTTGAAGCCCTATCTTCCACCGGGAACGTAAGGGAATAAATAAAATTAAATGCTGAAGAGTCCCGAACAACAAGGGCGAAACAATCAAGTTAAGAAAATGATGTTAATAATTGTCATGGGTCATTA